CCACGTCGTATGGATACGATAGTAAAACACGACGTACGGATAGGGTTAAGATAATTCAATCCGTCTGTGAACGAAGAAAGAAAACCGTTCAAGTCCCAAGTCTAGGCATTTGTTTTAGAGCCCAGATATTATGCCAGTCATTCTTTAAAAAGGGGAACAAATAGTTGCTTTTCGAGTTTATTCTCTCCGGTTCCATAAGTTCCTTTAGTTTTAAGGTCTCTGTTGAGTTTATGATAGTTTTTCTCTTCGCGGTTCTTTTTTTGTCTCCTATTTAGTTTTCTTCCTTTTTGAGACTGATTCCTTAGATGATTTAGATGATCCTGTTGTCTTTTCGGCTTCATCCTGTAAGTAAGGGCAGAAAATCCTGTTGATTTGGTTTTCTGGTTTCAAGCAACACAGGCTTTTTGTTTAATTGAAGGCTTTCAAATGTAACACCCGAACGTGCATCACTTCATAGATAGATAGATAGATAGATAGAGAGATAGATAGATAGATAGATAGATAGATATATAGAGAGATAGATAGATAGATAGATAGATAGATAGATAGATAGAGAGATAGATAGAGAGATAGATAGATAGATAGATAGATAGATAGATAGATAGATAGATAGATAGATAGATTTTATTCGAATAAAGTAGTATCGCAGCTTTATCTCCTATTCTTCTACGTTAAAATGCAAGGTATTGAACAGGTTTTTGTTTTATTACTTTCAGCTAATGCAGAGTGATTCTTTTATATATAAACATTCTCACACACTCACAAGTGCACGCATAGCCGAATTACCCTTCTTAAGATAAGTTAAAATCGTAATCGTGTTTCGTCCATGACGTCACGACTGATCCTATGTTGACTCCACTGAGAGTGGAGAGTCCTATGTGCGTAGTATTTCACGTACAATCAGAATGGAGAACTTTTAAAATTATTTTTTTATATAGTAGAGGGTTTTACGGCGCTCGCAACTGCATACGGTCATATGAGCACGCGGGACACACCTAATACCTTTAGTTGGTAGGAAATTTTGAATTTTGCCCGGGTAGCGGCCGAAGCCTACTCTTGTCGATTTTAGACCACCAGGGGATCTTTAACGTGCACAACTTGCACACGGGCCCTCCGAGATTTTTCGCCCTTGTCCGAGAAGGCTAGGTGTAGATCTTTCCTACCAGAAGATCAGGGGTGTGGCAGAAAGACAGCTGTAAGAACATGAGAGGCCAACACCTTAACCTCTAGGCCACGAGAGCCCGAATGGAGACCTCAACTAGACATTACCCAAATCCGTATATAGTCGCTTTTAAGGACAAGCAAACTACCCCAGATTTCGGGGGTTTCCAGAAATCTTGACCTACACCAAATGCGGGCTTTTCCCTACCTATAGGAGAAGTTTGGTTTCATTGGTGTGCATATTTGTTTGGTTATAGAGAAAACTCTCTTGGTCTTTTACAGAAACTGAACAAGGGGCAAAAACTTTACCTTCGATTTTCTCAAAACAGCATTTTTCGAGAGAGCCCCCTTGTGCTTAAAAGCGACCATATATACATGTGCTTTAATCTGTAAATTATAGTATGTGCTTGTGCACACAAACTTACCCCCCCTCCCCCACCCTACCCCCAGCTCTTAGTACATACATCCCAGCACTTGGCAATCAACAGATCTTACTCGATTGTTGTTGTTGTAGTTGCGTTGTTGCTGTTATTGATATTTATTATTTGTTTTTCCTTAAGAAAGAATTTTACGGTACTTTCAACACAATTACACCATGTATGTGCCAAAGATTAACAGTGTCACTAGAGGGTATCATTTAAAGAAAAGGATGAGAAATAAAGACAATGGATGTTTGACAGGAGAGAAGGAACAAACCACACCAGAGCACCCGCCAACCATCCACGAGCTCGGTTTGTGCCTTGGTAATATGTCCTATCGTATTGTTGCATAATGTCAAGAAACAAGATAGCTTCTTTTTTTCTTTTTTTTTTGGGGGGGGGGGGGAATAAAAACTACACATTTAACTGTTGAACATGTAGGCCTCTATTCAGGGAGAAAGCTTCATAGAAAAGCTGCAAAAAGGCGCCCTTCACTGTGTGCATATCGCTGCAACCTAATCAATGATTTCCCTTGGTGAAATTTTCTCATAAATCCTTTCCATACACAAGCCATCACTCGCCATACGTGGATCGTTTCTCTAGCTTTTATTCCCTGTCATCATCTACGAAGGAGAAAACACTTGTAAACGTGGAAATAAATCACAGAGTCCCTAGCGGTTATGAGATTTCCGGCCCCCATCTTTCTTCGTATACATTCCAGAATCTCCGACACAAAAACTCAAACGTTCCTCTTTATTCATCGTCAGTATTGCTACCAAGGGACTTCTATGACATGATGTTCACTTTGCATATTCCCGCTTTTCTCTGACAATTTACAAGATTTGAGTTGATATGCACGGAACTACACAGTACACGAAGGTCAAAGTCAGATTTCATCATTCCGAAGAAAATACTTCCCCAAAAATGTCGTTGTTGTTTTATTTGTTTGTCTACGTGTTTGTTTGTTTGCTTGTTTGTTTGTGTGTTTGTTTGTGGGCTGTTTTGTTGGGGTTTTTTAAATTGTATTTCGGGATTATTTTTTTATGGGGGGGGGGTTGTTTTGCTGTTGTTTTGGGTTTTTTTATATATTTGTTTCTGTTTCCTTGGAGGGGTGCTGCGAGAATGTGTCTATCTTTTGAAGTTGTTTGATGGAAAGAGTTTTGAATAAACTGATATGGCTTAGATGTACCACACAGAATTTAAGAAAACGAGAGAAAATGTTTACTGTTTCGCTTTATGACATTTTAATAGCACTTGTGCATATGTAGGAGACGGATAGTCTCGCCTCTCAAAGGTGGTATCTTTTCTCCACACTCACTATATCTTGAGTCCCGCTCTTTTTCCTCCTCGTCCGTCATTGAAACTGTGGACCAGAGAAAAGAAATGATACAGACCACTTAGACCAGACGCCACAGATCCGGGTTTGCTTTTGAAATGACCTATCTATATCCCAAAGGGTGATACATTTACAAACTATAAAAAAAAACCCAGTCCAAATAGATTTACATTTAATTGTCTTTCTGGAGTCTGGCCCTTTCGTGGCTCCGCAGAAAAATTGGGTGATAAAAATCAATGAATCCAAAAAGACCGGGTACTATGTACTTTGATCGAATCTGTATGTAACTGCATTTTGGCAAAGTAATATAAATTTGATCAGGTTAGGTCAAATAGGGAGCAAACTTATTATGTAATCCAAAAAAATGAAACTAGATTTTGAGTGAAGCCACAGACGATCTATAGATATTTGAAATGAAGTGAAATATTTTTTCTCTCTTTCTCCATATTATGATGAAGCAATGTTTTGAAAACCAATATGAAGTGCAATGTCATGTATGAATTATCCTAGAATATCCTCAGAATTACATTCAAGATATTATCAAGCAATTTCAGTTTAGTTCGTTGCTTGTTCTTTCTCATTGATTAACTGTTGGTGTCTGTTATATTTTTTCGCGATACCATGTCATGATTACGCTATAAACGAAAGACTAGTATTTGTCTCGATATCAATGTTTGTTTTATTTCACAATAATGTCAAAAAAAGAGATGAAAGATGTATTTTTCTATCATCAAATTCTACTGGCATTAGGACTAACCATGATTCTTGATATCAATTTCAGTCTCGTCGGTAACTCAAATCAAATTGACTTCACAAGTTTGGTAATACGAACGGACCTCCGAATAACCGAGCACAGGTTTATTAGTGTGGCAAGGGACAAACTCTTTGAAGTTAGGAACTAGAAACGTTTATTGATTGATTTCGCTCAAGGGGAGATTAACTTTGATTTATTGGCTGCATGACGACAATATAGGGAACACATTGTTTCCATTCACATTGCTGTCATTCTTTGGACTGTCGACCTTTTTTTTGACCAATAATTGCTTCCCCTGCAAAACTCTTGATGCAAAACACCCAAAACGTTTCACACACAGACATTTCGTTGATTCACTAGAATGAATGGTTATGTAGTGCTCGTTCATCAAATAGAGAAGTCATCACAAACATATTATTGTTTAGCTCAAAAACTCACAGGCACACACGCGCGCACTCATACACACGCACACACACACACACACACACACACACACACACACACACACACAAAGGTAGGGTACGTTTTGTTGTTGTTGTTGTCTTTGCTTTTTGCTTTTTTAACTCACGAAGAAATGCGAGAATAGGACATTGGCTCAGCTCTCTGCTTTTGGAAAATGATAGGGTTACGTACTCCCAGTCATACTTACAGACATGCTGGTCAGCTTCAGTTTTGTATTATTTCTATTATCAGCTTGCAAGAAAAACGTCCATGTTTTGATTAACTGTTTATCCCTTTTTTCGATTTCTGGTACTACAGCGCTGATTTTTTTTCAATCCTTTCCAAGCTGTTAGCAAAAACATTTTTTTTTCATGGGATTTAAAAAAATGGGCTGAAACTGAAGACTTTATTGAGGAGGATTTGGATTGTTTAATGAAATTTTCTAATTTTTGAACGACTGATATACGTACGCCTGGAATGCAATGTTCTGTTTTGCTTTTCGGGCTTATCGTTACCTCGTTGTGGCAGGTTTTTCTAATTCTGCCTCTTTTTTTTTATTATCTCCGAAAAACGAAGCATACATGTAATATTAAAATTTCTCCTCTCAGGAATCGAATGTTTGTTGAAAGCAGAAAGAAATGTTAGTCGTTATTGAAAGAGAAAAAAAAAGAGTCGTGCCCTTATGTCTTTTTAAAAAAAATACACCTGATCCCATTAGTCTCTTCTATTAGTACTAAGTCGTCTTTACATTGCTTTCACTCGCTTAAGAAAATAACTCACAAAAGGCTAGTATTTCAAGGGAATTCACAATTAGCATATTTTCAATTTTATTATAGTTATCCATCAAGTTCTACAGTGCCAATAACAAAATATATTGAATCATTTTCAGGTCAGATCATTCAAGATGGTATGCTGTATTTTATGATTGACTCTACCACTCGGACTAACAATATTTTTCGCCTGCATATTATTTACGTACTTATTTTTGGGAATCAATATAGAATTATTCATCACCTTTTTTTTAGAAGCAAACTAACGTCCTCCCGCTTTTACCCTTCGTAATGTCTCACTGGTAAACCCTATTATAAAGATACCTGTGTAGCGTTTATATTAAAGTCTGTGTTTTTCAGTACTGGGAAAGAAAATACGTGTTTTTATTTATGACCTATAAGTTAGTATCCAATAACATATCAGAATCGCCCAATTTATTTATTTTTTAATTTTTTTTTTTGTTGACAAAGATGTGACATCTGTTTAGTAGTTCAGGGCATATTATAGCTGTATAGCCACCTTTTTTCCACTTTTCTTTATTTTTGTTTGTAGAATAAAAGTCAGATCTTCAAAGCTATTAACACTGCGATTTGTTATCACAAATAACACATAATATTATTTTCATTTTCTATCACATAGATCTAAACAGATTGTGTAAAAATATTGATAACTTGAGAACTTTTGAAGATTAATATATACCCACTGAGTTCGAACTTTTAATTAACTAGTGCATCATTTTACAGATTTTTCTTCATTTTCATATATGCAATGCAATATACCTTAATTTTGTGCAATGAAATTTCGCTTTGCATACTTTGATGAATACATGTATTGTGCCGCTTATTTGGATGCTGGCTGAGACTTTGATTGAGCGTCATATAGTTGGATGAAATGTCGTGTTACTATAACTATGTGTCTTGAACGTGGTTGTCGTGGTTCTCAAATGTCAGGGAATTCAATTTTGTTTGAAAAATTCTGACTGCACCACATTTTGTCCATTCCATTTCTTATGTATTGAATGTTTGATACTAACATTATTTTCAAATTGAAGACTTGCAGGAAACAATAAATATTCAGAATGGAAAGTACAATTAGGTTGTTTCTTGAGTGAAAAATCATTCTCTTGAATCATAGAATGCTATAAGCGAGCTATTTACCTGAAAGCTTCTCAGTCCTCTCACGTATTATTTACGTTTACTAATAACGGGGGCCGTTTTTCCAAAGTTTGCATTTCCAGTAGATTTTTTGGTCCTTTTTTTTTTAACTTGCACGAAGAATAACCATAATTGCATCAAAGAGGACTCAGAATTAGTACACCAAAATTTTATAATTTTTATTATTTCTAACAGAACTTATAGTTGTTGATTTTTTCTATCTATTTTTGCATGTTTGCACTTTTACAGGTTAAGAGGATACTTTTATCTTGATATTGAGTACTAACTAAGGACACGGGGAAACACTTTGGAGCAGCATTAAACACATTAAAAGTACTAACATTCATTTTTTGCTTGTTTTCGTGTCAAAAGTTCATATTTTATTACTCAAAGGGTGTTAAACTGTTAAATAAGAACACCCCAATACGTCTGCATGATATAACTGTTCTAAGCTTCGGCGAGCAAGCTAGCGCTGTTCTTGTGTGGGATCCTCGACAGAAATTGCAAGGAAAATTAATAAAGAATATTACTGGATAATCTTTTTCCTTCAGTTCACTTCCGCATCCGAGTGATGGATCAACACAAGCCCCGCACTTTATCTCCGCCGTCTTCGGGAAATACGTTTTGGCAGATCGAAGCGGAGACCAGCATCCTCTACGGTATGGTTCATGAAATTCCAAGTTAGGTCTAGGAATAGTTATAGTCGGCCAGCTGTTAAAATGTATTATGCCCAACGTTGTATTCTTTTTCTTTCTTTCTATTAAATTGCAGCTTCTTAATCTGTGGTATGGACTGCATATTATGCTCAATAATATATTTTGTCGACTTGCATAATCTAATTGTTGAAAAGAGCAAGAAAAGGTATATAATATAGGCACAATTTGTTTAACGAATGTTACTTGTTGATTTGTTTTCTCTCTCTCTCCTAAAATATCTTGCTTTCTGGATTAAGAACAGTTAAAAAGCTTTCCTACGTTATGCTGAGTACTTTGAGTTTCTACTATGATAAATGGAGATGGAACACTGCATCTTTTCTTGAAATGTGTGCTATGCTACGACTTAAACAATTCTGTGATCTGTCATATTGATGAATCAATATTGCGTTTCAATTCTCAATCATCCTATTTATTTTTATGCTATGAAATCTATTCGGGCTTTTTACTGAATCTCGACTCAAAACAGAATGAAGTCAAAACTATATAGCTGCCGCCCTCCCCCTCCCTCTTACACACACATGCACG